GTGATGATACTCCAATTATGACTGACAAATTCTGTTTGAGGGCCTAGAGTGCAGCTAATAGTTCTAGTAAGGCATGTCGTCATTTCCTTGTCTCCAGCTAACAATACTCTATATTTCAATACCTGGCCAAAATTGCTTTCATGTCATCAATCACAACAATTTTAGGTCCATTAGTGAATAATTGGAACTGACAAATTTTCTGTTGCTATACATTGTTCTATTATCATCAACTCTGCCCACATTTGATCAGTAAGGAAATTTCCCTGGATAGGGAGGGATAGTGTTCTGTCACTGTGATGAAGAACCTGACCTTATTTTCTGCCAATCAAGACTTATTTGGAAAAGAAAAATAAATAAATTCATTCATTTTCTTCAGCACATAGACAATAAATCTTTTTAGAGAACACCATTAACCCAATATTTTCAGCATAATCCATGGCCTTAAAACTATAGGGAAAAACTACGAGTTGCATAGAACTCAAGAAAATACATTTTCTGAAATAAAATATCCAAGAGCTTGCTCTCTTTTGCCTTTATCAAAGCTCTTCTGTGAGCACCTTTACATGCCTTCTAATTTGCTCAATTTCTCATCTTACTTCCATACTTTACATGAATTCCAACTGCACTTATTTGAATGGTGAATTCAAGACCACAAAGCAAGCATTTATTTTTCAGCATTAGCCATCTGGTCAGTCTTTCCATTAAAATCATGTAAAAGTTTCCTACAAAAGTAAAATTTTATTTTATATTATAAAGATTCCTTATAAAATAGAAGATTCATAGATTTCTATGATTAAATGTATAACTGTGTAACAAAGCTGGCCAGCCCCGTAGCCTAGTGGTTGAGGGAGCCAGATCCCACCTGACTGACTGCAGTTTGAATGCCTACTCTAGAGGCCTGAAAAACACACTGGGCACGTGTGTGTCTGTGTGTGTGGTGGGGGGATGGAAGCAGGGCAGGGATCCTAACAGGATGTAAGAATGAAGAGATTATAGCATGACCATACCCCGTGCAGGGGGAGAAGTGCTTGCTCCCTCTTTCTCTCTCTCTTTCTCTACTTGGTGAGTACATATTATCTTCCATCAATTAAAATACATATATATGTAATGAAACAATTTATAATAGAACTATTAAGAATTAGTACTTTCTGGGGCAAGCAGGTGGCATCATGTTTAAGGTGCTACGTTCCCACATGGTCATCATGGTTTGAGTCCCAGACACTACAAATTCATACTGGATGCATGTGTGTGCATGTCCCAAATCCCAAGATGAGAATGGAGAAAATGAGATTGTAGCATGGCTATCCCCCCCAGGGGGTGATTTCTCACCTTCCATCTCTGTCTCTCTCCAGCAAGTGCATGCTCTCTATGAAAAAACCTAAAGCAAGAAAAGATTACTTTCCAGGACTCTTACAACAGCTAGAAGGCAAACTAAAAGTGGGTGGTGTAGATTTAGTTTCAGGTCAAGATTTCTCTACTGGGATGGGATTTTTTTTTTTTTTCTTTATCAAAGGAAAGTGGTCTCCTGTCAGATTTCCAGCTCAACTTCATCAAATTAACTCTACATATTGATACGTGAGAAGAGTGTTTCATCATGACTGAGTTTGCTCTCAAGGGACCTTCTCATCAATCCTCTGGCCTTTCTTCCAGTAAATGCCAATGGTTCAACCAGTAAATGCTGATAGACCTACCAATAAATGCTGATGGACCCAGGCATGCCAAATTGAGTAAGCCAATATTAGAAAACACCAAAATATATATTCTCTGTCTAAAAGTCTACTACATACTAATATATATTTTAGACCTCATTTTCATATCGAAAGATATCAATAAAGAAAAAATAATAAACCTTACTTTAAGCCAACATAGAAGTAGTAGAACTGTTCTATTTTTTCGAGAAGAATAATCTATTAGAGTATAGAAAAATTATATTTATTGTAGCATCAAGCTATCATGAAGGTCTTAGCATTAGTCTAGACAAGTACTATAGCACTCACTCAATCAAAGCATTTTGACGTCCTATTTTAGTTCACTTTTTTGTCACTAGCCACTGAATACTACATGGGGTATTTTATAAAGAACAGAGATTTATTTAGCTCACAATTTTGAAGGTCCAAGGTCAAGGGGACACATCTCAGGAAAGTCTTTTGTTGATAGGGGTTTTCTGAAGAGGGCATCAAATAGGGAGGGCAAGAACATGGTTGTATCTGTTTTATTCCTACTCCTTAAAAACTCACCAGGTAGGAGCTGGCAGGTGGCATCGTGGTTAAGGCACTGAACTCTCACATAGCTGATCGTGGTTCGAGTTCCAGACCTGGTGGTTTGCTTTCTCACTTTCCCTTTCTCAATCTCTGTCTCTGTATGGTCAAGTTAAATAATAATAGTAACAAATAAAATTAAATAAGTAAACAAACAATTTTTAAAAATAAGAGTACACCAGGATTCAATCATGTGAGCTCCACCCTGATGGCTTCACTCCATCCTAATCTCTTCCCAATGTACCTACTTTTCAACACCAGAGTCAGATTAAGTTTTCACCCTCTTAACTAACTTTCAATACATGAATTATGGAGGGACACTTTCAGACTATAGCATGTACCTTTACTTACCTCTCACTCATATAAATGGAAAAATAATAATTGTAGAGTTTAATTTACCTGAATTTGTTGTAGAAGAAAATTTGTTGTAATATAAAAGCTGTCAAGCAACTGCAGACTTAGTCTCCAATAAAATTAGCAATACAGAATCTAAATTTCTGTCTGTATGCAAAACTACAGAACTAGTTCAAAGAATTTAAAAGTGTAGCATGAATCATGCCTCCCACTGCTACCCTTCTCCTTCCTTGCAGTACAGCTGAAAGAGACTCAGAGTGTCAATCATTTTAGTCACCCTGGATAAGAAGAGACTCTCAATCTATTTTGGTGCACTTGGTCTAGCTCTTTAGGGTTCAAAAGAAATATGACCAGTCAGTTTTTATGTCACTAGAGCTCATGCCACTGAACTCAGTGAACTATTTCTCAAGCAAAAGGACCTTCTTCAAAGGAAATTCTCCAAAGCAGAGAGCTACACAAGATAATTTCACATAGAACACATGTCCTAAAAGACGTGTACAAGATATTCTGATAAACCATGAGAATTACATGTTACAACTTCTATTTTCATTTATTTTCATCTAAAAACATAAGAAGGATTAACTTTCAACCATATCTGACTTATGTAGTTGAACACTGGATCCCTACTCAACCCACTTGTCAAAAGTTTACATATGGCACTGAGGTGGAAGCAGAAGTCTGTGGGGGAGCAAGAGCCACAATGTACTGAGATTAACAGTAACACTGATGTGTGTATTGACTTGATTCTTTTATTTTATTTTTATTTTTTAAGTACCAGAAGGCACATGTGCTTGCCAGAGAGGGAGAGAAAGCACCTTCTCACTGGGCACTTGTGAGTGTGTGTGTGTGTGTGTGTGTGTGCATGTGCACGTGCTAAAGGGCATGTGTGCTTGCCAGAGGTAACAGAGAGAGGGAGAAAGCACCCCCAATAGGAATGGTTATGCTGCAAACCTTTCTCCATCTCTCACTCCTTTTGGGATTTTAGGCACACACACACACACACACACATACACACACGTACCCAGAGTGTTTCTCAAACCACTTTCTCAAGTTCTAATACTTGAACTACACTGTTGACCATGTGGGAATCCAACTGCCTTAACCACCAGGCCGTGGGGCCAGCCCTGTTTTGATACTCTTTCTTTTTTTTGGAAAGGTTTTTCTTTTTTTTCGCTATAGGGTGCGTGCACTCGCCAGACAGAGAGAGACATAGAGACAGAAAGCGAGAAATCACCCCCCAGGGGGGATGGTCACGCCGCAACCCTTTCTCCTCCGTTCTCCTCTCGGGATCTTGGGCACACATGCACACGCGCCTGGCATGAGTTTTAAGCCACTGGGTCCGGAGTGCGAACTGTGGTCGACTACGTGGGAGTCCAGCGACATAGCCATTATGCTAACTGCTGGTTCCCCTGTTTTGATACTCTTGATGGAGAAAGCTTACAATCTCTGGGTCCTAATCCGTGTGGTCAGTTGGAAACCCCAGATATATTGTTCTGTGCAGTGGCAACTTCAGCCTTGGGCATTGCAACTACAGGAAATGTTTTTCTATAATAGTGGTTGGGGGGAGGAAATGGACTTACACAATGGAGAGAAAGGCAAGGTAGATATAACTGCTGTGGAGGTATCTAGTTTTCACACCTGTCAAAGCATTTAGAGTGATTTTAGACTAGACTAGGTCTATCGGTAGTGTTGTCCAGGAATTATGTCTCTGGCTGTATGGAATAAAAACTGTCTTCTCAGTATAAAAAGTGCAGGAAACACTATGACACTCCAAAAAGGTTATAGTCTGGACCTGCCTGGGTTCCTTGAACTACTAATATCTAAAGTATAAATTATCTTTTTGCTCTTATTTTACCACTAACTAATCACCAAAAAGTTAATGCATTTTCTCATACTATAATTAACAAAATAATGTAGCATCTAAGTAGAATTTACATTTTTCAGATCATTTCAAATAATTAAGTAGATAATTAGGATTTAATTTATAAGCAGCATGCTTTGATTTCTTTAGCAGCTATTAGACAAAATAATTGTAGGAATAATGAGTGCTAGCACAAATGGTGCTATAGTCAAAACTTTAAAAAGTATGTTCTGAACAATCTGTGCTCATTTTAAGATGTAGAAACTGTTACTCTCAAATCAAAATCTATGTGAAATATCTAGAAATTTTCTTTCCCCCCCATTCCTAAGTATCTTTTTTAAGAAAGCTATTAAGGCTTCATGGACTGAAAAGGCTCTTTTAAATAACACTTATTATTTTAAAATAAGTTTTTTATGTTACATGTATATAAAATTACTACTATATATCCTTTATCAGATTAGACTCGGCTCTTTAACTATGGACATTAGGCATAGCTTCTGAAAGTAGATGTTTTTTCTCCTTTGCAGTTGGTTGGTTTCGTGTACGCCTGTTATGTGATCAGTATTTCCATGGAAGAAGAAGATACTTGTAAGTACTATTAGTACTTTTACCCCTGTGGGCTCATTTTGGATGAGAGAAGCCTCCAAAACTAATCACTACTGGGCTATGGGTTACCCATGTGGGCTCATTTTAGATGAGATACAGCCTCCAAAACTAATCACTACTGGGCTATGGAAGTATTAGTATCTGGACTCTAAAATGATCCGGCTCAGCATAGTGACATTATAATCCAAAACTGACAAGCTGAACTGCACGCACAGAAGGAAGCACTCAGTATTGAACTTCTCCATCCAGGCTGTGTGGGAGTGTGCAGAGACAGGAAGCATAAGGCTTGCTATCATCTCATGTCTTGGTAACTTTTCATCAGAGACCCACACGTGATGCTGAGTCAATAATTAGGGGGGTGTTTGATCCATCACCAATTTTAAGCATACTGGTCACAGAATTTTGAAGTCTGATACTAGTAATAACAAACACAGTATGTTTTAGCATGAGCTATATAGAATGCTATGAAAAACTAAAACTTATAACCTTCAAGGTAGTATATAAAAAAAATAATACAAGAGGGGTCAGCAGGTGATGTGGTGGTGAAGGCACTGCACTCCCACAGGGACAACTGTGGTTACGTCTCAGAACTGGTGGCTTGTTTTCTCATTCTCTGTCTCTCTCCTTCTCTTTCTCTCTTTGGTGAGTGCACATGTCCTATAGTCATTTTTTTAAATGATGATAATAAATAAAATTAAATAATAAAAATATTTTAATTACAAAAGGAATATAAGAGATGTTTAAAAATAATTAATGGAGTACATAGAAGCTAAGTCATGTTTTAGCCGAACACCCACATAAAAGATGTATTATTATCTGGAGTTAGGTAAGAGATTTAGCAATGTAGGCCAATAAATTACTTTTATTGAGCACCTGCTAACGTATAGAGAACTTCTTGGCATAATTCTGTCATGGGGTCATATAAAACTAAAGAAAAAATTAATTTATTTTAAGAAAATAAGTTATTTTAGGTAAATCTGACCTAACCAAACCGGAGGTTTAGTTATATTATAGCAGTGGCTATCTGACTAGTAGTGAATTCTAGCAAAATGAGGACAAGTACCTCGCCATTCTAACCTCTTTCTAGGACATAACTTCAAAGGGGTCTGAGAAATGCTCTCCAGGAAACACACGCAGTGCTTTATAAATAAACTGGAATCCAGTTGACAAGGGATCTCATCTCAATTTACTTTACCAAATGGAAGAATATTATACCCTGAAGTTAATCATGCCAGGCAGTGAAAATATTCAAACATATTGCATCATATATTTTATGCTTACTTGGGGATTGATTTTTTTTTCAATATTAGATGAACCTGAAAGTTTCTGACACTTCAAAAATATAGTTGTAATGTCAACACTTTTCATTTTGAGGTTAATTTCGAAAACTGTATTTTTAGGAGTTTCATTGGTAATGCCACATCTCACAAAGTTAATGCACAGAAAGTTAACAGCAGACTTGCAAATCACAGCTAAGACAGCTGCACAGCCAAAAACTAGTTGAGCATGAAAAATTTTAACTGGAATTAAGACCTAAAAGGATGTTACTAGAATTTGTGCTAAATGAATACTTGAAAAGAATGGATTCACTGATCAATCCCAGCTGAATCTCTTACGAAGTTCTTTTGAGTGGGTCCAGAAACACTAGTCCCCTTTCTTTTCCTCCTCACCAAACTGTTTGGAGGCTTGGAAAAGGTGCCAGAGCTCAGTCCTACCTTATTGTGGGAGAAAGGGCACATTTACTAATAGTCTTCTTTTATTGAAGAGAATAAGTATATAAAAGTCTTTCTGTTGAGATTTGTGATTTTAAGCAAAACTAGAAAATGCAAAACGGCTTGAAAAATAAAAGGCTCATCTAAACTGAGCAAACATTCTTCAACCTTCTATCAGCCTTCTTGTAGAGTAATAATGTCAGTTTATATAAGTTGTATTTCTAGTGGGAGATATTGTAGTTTCACTAACTTTGGTGGTTTTAATTAGCCTAAGTTTCTTTATAGAAATCTCTGAATCAGCTACTTTAATGCCTATCAAACTGGGTTGAAGGCAGCTGCTAGCAGTCTATCCATTAATGATTTCATTCTAGTGTTTGCTATTAGGGCTATAGATTGAGTTATCAAGAGACATCTGGATATGGTCATGTGTTGCCATCAATTCAAATAATACTTAGAGTCAGAAAGAGCTGTAGGTGCTCCAAGTAAATATACCCAAGACCAACTTAACATGATAATCTGCTGGAAGAGAGATGACAGTAAAAAGTAATCACAAACCTTTTAGTCTGATGAGTCTCTAGCGAGGGCAATTTTACATCTTTTTTATTGAAAAAGTAGGAATCAAAAGTGCAGATGTAATCAAATTGTTCCAGGGTCTTTAGAAGGCAGATGTGAGCAAAAAGTAATATCTGAAACCAATTGCAATGATCTCAGACTCCTACAGTTTGTGCCAACGCTTAGCTTTTAGGTGCAATAATGAACTGCCCTTTGGACATGACTGTTATCAGCCCACAGTCAGGAAGATGTGTCCTTGAATTGCTTTTCCAAAATTTATACATCAAATAAGGAAACAATACTGGTAGCTTTCTAATTTGCCTAAGTATACTTCTGGAAAGCTTATTCTGAATAGAAACCACAAATAGAATGTAATGTCACAGTATTTTGGCAGACAACGTATCATTTATCATTTTGATTCCCATTCTAGCTAATGAAAATCTTTGCATTATTCAAAATGCAAAGCTAAGTCTTGTTCTTGGAATGAAAGCTGTCAGCTAGCCTTAAAAATTAGTAACAGCCTCTACTTCTCTCCTTGCTACTGCTTAAGTGGTTCTATGGGACTAACATTTCAGAAGGACATTCCTGAAAGGAAACAAATGCTTAAGGAAGCATTTATTTCCAGTCACCCATCTTCTTAGTTACCTCTTGGCCTCTTTTACTATTTCTTCTAAAGATTATGATTGCAGGTCAACCAATGAAATCAAAACTCACAAAAGGCAGAGGGTTAGGTGGAGTTGATGCTTTCCATCATTTGTTCTAACGAAAAAGCCCATTTATACCTCTTTTTTCCCATGTTTATTTCTTTTTATGTATCTATCAATTTCTAGGAACACTTTTGGGAGACTGTAATCATAAAAATCTGTCAATTTCTTGTTTGTGAATCATCCTTTACTGCTGGCAATGAACTTATGGGTTTGTTACTATCTTGTCAAACTTACTAGAAAGAATGTTTTTAATTTAGACAAGTGTGGAGGAAGACAAAATACCCTGAAAAACAGTATTTAACTGGTATGAATATTGCCAGGCTTTCTTACGGGCTCTGTTGTTGACACTGCTCTTTCTGATACCAGGTTACGAATTACAGCTGGGGCATTTATTTCGACTCACCAAGGCTAATCTGAATTTTATATGTTGAGTGGCAGTAAGGGAAAGTATACTGAAAACCCTAACCATTCCTAAAAAGAAAACTAATTCCTCAGATATCAGTTCAATATTTCCCTTTGAAAAACTCAAAATAATTCTTTATACAAACAGTCCCTTGATAGTAAATTTCAGAGAACTTTTGATTAAAAAGAAGCATGCATATTGGAAAAATAGTCCATATCTACTGCCCTTGAGGGTTTCTGCAGTCTAGCGTTCTTGTATTTTCCTATCTGCCTAGTATTTTCTTCTAAAAAGATAAGATGACATTACCCATATCATCTTATGATAATTTCTAAAAATCCTAACTCCTCCTAAAAATTTACTAGAGAAGCTAAAGGGAGAGAAATGGACTAGTTTGAATATTAACTTCTGAATTTTCCCTCCTCGATTTGTGATGTCTGGAGAATGCTGGGAGTCAAATGACCATGGTCAGGCACTAAGGGAAGGAAGCAACAGAAGCCTGGATGATCACGTAGGAGAAAACCAGTTCATGGTTTTGAGTCCTTTGCAATGTATGAATATTTAAGAGTTAGAGGACAAGAGAATGTTGTAAGAGTCAAAGAGAAAGACATGCAAGAGATTCACGTAAGGGTGATCCTGAAGAGAGAGTCAGCATTTCAAAGGTGGTTCAGTTTGCCCAAGAAGCCTCTAATGGTTCTCAGGCCAGCTCTGCAGCACAACGGTAAGGCACCATCGGATCAGAAGTAGAGGATCCTACACAGTAACCAATGTTTTAATTCCATGCCGGTCAGCCTGAAATGCACAGGCGCGCGTGGTGACCCAGATCTAAGGACATGAGGACTGGAGGAAGGGTAGCAGACCATGACAAGACCTTGTGGAAGGTGTTCTTCTTTCTCTTTCTTTCACATGGGCACACATGTACTCCGTCATGAATAAGAGGGGAAAAAAAATAAAAATTAAAAAGAAAAAAACTTGTTCTCAGAAAATGTCATGTTCTTTTGGTTTTCCCTCTGGTGATTTCGTGTAACTATTTTTTTTTTTTTTTGGAGAGGTTTTCAGTATAGTGCGCTCGCCAGACAGACAGAAAGACAGAGAGACAGAAAGCGAGAAATCACCCCCCAGGGGGAATGGCCACGCCACAATCCCTTCTCCTCCATTCTCCTCTCGGGATCTTGGGCACGCGCCCAGCGTGAGTTTTAATCCACCGGGTCTGGGACGCGAACAGTGGTCGACTATGTGGGAGTCCAGTGACATAGCCATTACACTAACTGCTGGTCCCATCATGTAACTATTTTTTTAAAGTTAAAAATCTCATCAGAGATCAGACTTAAGAGCTTGAAGCATTCCCTTTAATTTGATGAGATGGCTCTGACAAATAACTACACAATTACCAGCTCGTCTCTCCTATGTCTACTAGAACAGAAGACCTAATAGGGTAGGATCTCAGTTTGGTTCCCTTCTGTAACCCTAGAATTTAGAAAACTGCCTCATACATAACAGGTGATATAGAAATGTTTGTTGAATTTGTTCATTATTATTACTATTTTATACCTTTAATAGCTATACATCATTTAGCTTGTATAGAAAGTTTACCTAACATAAACGCACCTC